AACAATCTTTGAGACAAGTCCATAGTGCAGTGATGTGGCTCAAAGATACCTGGTGGTCTTGTGCAAACAATCTTTGAGACAAGTCCATAGTGCAGTTCCTCACAATTGTTCATCGTGAATAATTAATGTGTTATATCAGAGATAATTCTTTCACTGTTGGTTAAGGGGAAGATTCTCGTTGGGACAAGAAATGCTGAAATAATTGAAGTTGGAGAGAAAAATGCTGCATGCAACATTCTAATTAATGGTCATATGGATGGACCAATCTGGGGCCTGGCAACACATCCTTCCAGAGATTTTTTCCTTTCTGCTGCAGAAGATGGCACAGTAAGACTCTGGGATATTGTTGAAAAGGTAAGAGTTGGAGAATAGTTATTTGGGGAAGAGGGGGGCGGAGAAAAGAAATCCTAGAATTGTGGTGGTGTTGAGGACTTGAAACCTTTTTTTGAATGTATTCTGAGAATAATCAGTCTGATAGTGGCAAACTGTTAGCATAAGGTATTTTTTAAATATGAACAGATAGAAACATTTACTCTTCTGGGTTTTTATTTCTTCACAGAAGATGCTGAACAAAGTCAGCTTAGGACACGCAGCTCGTACTGTTTGTTACAGCCCAGAAGGCGATATGGTAGCTATTGGCATGAAAAATGGAGAATTTATTATCTTGCTTGTGACTTCTCTAAAAATTTGGGGGAAAAAAAGGGACAGAAGATCAGCTATTCAAGATATCAGGTCAGAAAATATAATGCCTTTGACTATCATAGTAGTCTAGAAATCTGTATCATTTTGATTTTTTAAAAATACAGTTTTATGTTCAGAGGAGCATTGCAGTGATATTTCAGAGATCTGAAATCAATGCGTGAATTGTGGAGTCTGTGTGATTACTCTAATACCAGGAATAAAAAGGAAGGAGGAGGTACATGAAGATAAGAGATAGTAATCAGTCAAAAAACAGGAAGTCCCACGGGGGAGTGTCAGATCATATTGCCAAGGTTAGTTAAATTGAAGGGTGAAGGGGGAGGTAAGTGGACAACAGGAAAAGACCATCCTCAAATCAGAGGGCTGATGAGAAAGTGTGAAAAGGAAGAGGATGAGATGATGTGTAGGCAGTAAAATGAGATCAGATGAATTGTGAGTGAAGATGGAAATGCGTTTTGTTATAGAAAGGAGTTAGCAGAAGTAAGATTTTGCTTCTGTTTCCTGAGTGGAGGATAAGATTCTGGAGAGCAAAGTGGGGTGAGTGGGAGAAACAGGAACAAACAGGGACCTTGCTACAGGAAGGCAGAAGAACCGCACTTGGAGTTAGGGGGTTGCTGGAATCAGAAAGCTGTCCCAAGGTATGTCTTGGAGATAATAGAAATAAATAAACATCCGTAGTAACTCGAAAGGGAATGTAAGGAATTTGTTCAGCACAGGCAGCTGCTGAGTTTCAAGACTAGAAAGGAGAACTGGAGGAAAGAAACCACTGTGCAAAGATACATTGAGGAGATGAAAGATTTGATTACCCATCTTTTTATTCAGTACGTTTTATCTAGAAGGTCTGGCTTTTCTTCATTTACAGCATTTTTCTAGTTTGTAGCCTTGTAAGTATAGCATTAGAGAGTCAAAGTCATCAGGGGCGTGTCACAAAGTTGTGAGAGTAATAAGATCAGATAATGAGCAGAGTTATTCCAGAGGTGTTCCCTGTTCACTTACGTGTGACAGCTCTACCAAAATTATTGCCACCTTCTGCTGCATATATGTTCCCTGAAAGTTTTATTTGTTTCAAAAGTTATTTTGCTTAGCAGATGAAATACTCTGTCTCCCTCTTTAGTTCTGGGTAGCAGGTACTTGAAATACAAATTTACAGGTGCTTCTGGAATGTTTCAGTCTGTTTTAAGTGCCAACTTGTGTTCATAAAACCCTTTTATCTGTTCAGGTTTAGCCCAGATTCTCGTTACTTAGCAGTTGGTTCCAGTGAGAATGCAGTGGATTTTTATGATCTGACTTTGGGTCCCACACTAAATCGAGTTAGCTATTGCAAAGATATCCCAAGTTTTGTGATCCAGATGGACTTCTCTGCGGATAGCTCTTATCTCCAGGTATCAGTCATTAATTGTTCGAGATACTGAATGGAAAGCATGTTCATGACAGATACTCTGCAAGTATTCTCTGTTGACAACTGCTCAATTTTGTAATGAAATGTTGGAATATTAGGTTACTGTCACTAGACTGTTACTTTGCTGTAATGATAAGTGGATGATGAAAATAGTTATCCTGGATATTAAATACATGAAACCAGCACAGAAACACTAAATGGATTTCAAAATCACTGTAATGTGTCTCCCTGCCTTTTTACCTCTGTGATGCTGATGGGCAGTCTTAAAAGTAGAAGGAGTACAGTCTATCACTCTGTAAGCCCCAAGGACCTGTGAATTCTTCATATCCCTGACCAGAATGGTAGCATTACACATCGTTTCAGTGCCAGCCTGCTTGGAGCAGCACCATAATCATGGTGTTAAAAGTCCTAGCTGCAGAGCTGAGGTAATTTCTTAAAATAAAAATAAAGTAGGCATACTTTGCTTTCTATGTTTTGTTTGCATCTGAGAGGAAGAATAAACTTCTCTCACTGTCAAATCAGTATCTGCAGGCTGAGAGGAATTCCTTTGTGTCAGTTGCATTTATTTTGCCTTATTTATACATACACACATTAACACACACAATATATAGAGAGAATTAATATCTTATGTGCAGAATGCAAAGTGTTTAAATTATTTTTTTATTAATCAGACATGTTAAAATTGAAGATTTCTTACACTTTCTCACTGTTACTTTACACTTGTAGATATTTTTGAGAATTTTCAATGAATTGAGCAAGTTTTATGAATAGATGTTACTTGTAGAATAAAATATAACTATCAAGAAAATGCTTTTCAGAGCCTTTTTAGAATTATATCTTCATCTTTTCAAACAAGTTCATGTATTCTGAATTCTCTGTGGTCTTCTGAAAGGTCTCTACTGGGTCTTACAAAAGGCAAGTCTATGAAGTGCCTTCAGGAAAACAGCTTGTGGACCAGGCTATGATTGACAGAATAACATGGGCTACGTGGACAAGGTAAATGATCCAGCTATTTACACCTGATAAAACACTTGTAACGTCCAGGAGAAGCACCTACTGTTTAAAAGCGTATTTCATCCCTTCATTCAGTCAGGTATTTTGTTCTAACACACCCATCAGCTCTGGCCACAGATCAGGTAGGTACAGTAAAGCAAAAACCACAACCTAGCAGACTCCCTCAGTAGAACATGAACTGTTTGACCAGTGAGGACATCTGATAAAAACTCATCTCTCTAATGTGTGCCTTTCTATTTGCTGTTTATCTCCAGCTTCCTTTGATGTATCTCTAGCAGCCTCAGTAGTGTTCTTTGCACTGTGCAGATTACCTGGAATACTGCACTGTTTGCTTCAAAATAGTGATTCGGGGATAAGAGTTCAGGGAAAATTAAAACAAGGCAATACAAGACTGTGATAATTTTCCACATACGAACCATTTTAAACAATAATAATCCTGACTATTTGCTGCAGACATGACTAAAACTATGAGCTTTTCAGAGGGCTCTGAAACTCATTTTGCTAGGTTTCTGTTTTCTGTTTGGGTAATCCATTTTTGTCACCTCTTTGATATGAAAACAAGAAACTCTGTTTTCTGACCCAATTCAATATGTCTGAAGTAAATAATTCCTTTTTGAATGGAGTGTACTGTGCTCTGATTTGGGGGGAAAGAATTATAGAAAAATTCCCAAATCATTCACCTATTAACTAATGATAAAGTGCTTGTTTCTGTGCAGTCTTGGAAGTATGAATAAAAAGCAACTTTCCACAGGGCCTTACAAAGGAAATTTTCTATAAATGTCTGTTTTGGAATCTTAAGGTAATTATGTTTTCTGTGTAGGACATTTTTTTTTTTTTCTCTGTGCTTTTATTGAAGAATCTTCACAGGACTCAGGGAGACTTCTGATTGATATGAAAATGTTACAGAATCAGCAAAACATAATGAAAATATACATATTTTTATTTTCTGAAAGCTGAAGCTTATTCATCTAATGCTTATGCTATGACATTCTATTTTTTATTGTCCTTTATTCTTTTTTTTTTGTAAATGCCTCACTGGATGATATTAGTATTATTGATGTCACCTCTGCTTCATAGTGTTGTCATGAGCCACGTTATTTTGTGAATTATATCACTGAATCAGTTTCAGAAGCAATATAAAAATTAATTACAGGGTAAAACGAGATGTATATGTGTAAGAATAAAATGTAAAAACTACATTTTTATAAAACCAGTTACAATATGAGAGCTGCTTACTATTTCCTTACTCTATTGTTTTTGTTGTAGTTTTCAAAAGATTCTGTTTCTCTTCTGTTTCAGTGTTCTAGGGGATGAAGTAATTGGAATCTGGTCCAGACATGCTGAAAAAGCTGATGTAAACTGTGCCTGTGTCTCTCACTCGGGAATCAATCTTGTAACAGGCGATGATTTTGGGATGGTCAAACTGTTTGACTTTCCATGTCCTGAAAAATTTGTAAGAACTTGTTTTTGTATCATTACAGCAAGAAGTACTGTTGATATCATGGTCTTGTATAACACATATGATGGAAATATTTTCTTCTCTAAATTTGTAGCTTTTTAATGCATCTGTGTATCTTTAGCTCCGTAGTCTCATGAGCGTGCTTCAGCACAAAGTTTTCCTGCCATTTTATGCAATAGGTTTTGCCATAAGCTCTTGTAGGCGTTAATATTGTCTGTCAGTCTGCTTTAGCGTAGTGCCGTCATACTGAAATCTCAAAGCCCTTAGTTTTAGTTATCCACATCTCCAATCTCCATTTGACAGATGAGGAAGACAACTGGTAGTTTTAGTCCCATCTGTGTATTTCCATGGCTGAAGACTTTACAGATTTTTCACTGTTAATTTGCAAGATTTTAGACTGTACCATGTAAACTGCTTATGCACTTACAATGAAAATATTTTTTTCAGTGTAAGGAATTGAGAGGTTGATTGCATGACAATATATATTTCATTTGTTTGTGTTAGCTTGAGCATTATTCCCAATTTCTAGATGCTCTCTCATTTGGTGACAATCTAGTCTGCATAGCAGCTCAATAGTAGTTCTCCTTCAGGAGATCTTTCATGTTTGAAAACTTATATAACATTCTGAATGTAATATATGTGATGCAATAAAAAGGTAGATAAAAACATGCATGCCTTGTTTGATTTAGGAGGACATAGAGTATTGAGACTCTCTCATTTTATTGTTGGGGTTTTTTTTGTTGGTTTTTTTCAGGCAAAACACAAACGATTTTTAGGTCACTCTGCCCACTTAACTAATATTCGATTTACAAGTGGAGATAGATACGTGGTCAGTGCTGGAGGGGATGACTGCAGGTATGTATCCCTTCTCTTACTGTCAAAAAGTGCACGGCAGTGGACGTGGACAGTCCATAATAGTAGAAAGTTCAAGTTCCGAGTCTTCATCTTTTTATCTGTAGGCTTACTTTTCTGTTTGTATATAAAGATATTTGCAACAAAATAAATAGCCCAGATGTTAATATGAACAGTTAAGACTTAATAAAGTAAAATGTTTACAGCTATATTCAGAGCATCATACTTTTAACTGAAATTTTCCTTTTTACTGCATTAACCATTTCTTTTAACAATACTGTAATCTTTTGTATCTGATATTTAATATCTTTTTGAAAACACAGCTTATTTGTTTGGAAATGTGTGCATATGCCTCATTGAGAGAGACACGGAGACTTGCAAAGAGGACACTGCATGAAGTACCAGGCATGAAATACCCAGGATTGCAATGTGACATTCTACAGTGACCTGCATGCTTCAGAAATGGTGCTGATCCAAGACACAGAGCAGTCTGTCTCTGAAAGACAAGATCTAGAGTCTGTCAGAAGGATGGACTGTCACAAACACGCTGAGGCCGTTAGATTTGCTTCAGTTTTGGATAATCCGGGTTTGTATTTCACTCACTGCCAGATGTTGAAAATGAAATACATGGATAAAAGGAAAAAAGGAATTGTTAATCAATGTACAGTTTCACAGTAGGATCCTGGGGTTTTAATCAAGAGATGTTACTTATGACCTAGTGCTGTACATTGATCTATTTTCAGCATGAATGTTTCTCCTTTAAGTTTTGGGGTCCGAATATCATAAAAAAAAAAAAGAGTATTCAATATTTTATTACTGAAAGAAACCATATATTAACTCTCAAATATATAGTATTTTAATAAATGTTTAATTATTTTAATGGAAATGATATTTCTATGACTGGTGAAAAGGAAACATCATTTGGTGAAGCAGAAAATAAGAGAGCTGATTCCTTAGGACTTAAATAGAGGCCTGGGTCATAGTCATGTCTGGTGAAAGCCGTTGGATATGCATGATCTTCATGGCTAATTTAGTGTTTTTGTTGCACTTAAACATTAAATTAGTTCTGTGAGCAAAAATAGATTTGCTCACTTTGCGAGTGCCTTGCCCACAACCTAAAAGTCTAACTCCAATTTTTGCCTTGTGAATAAAAGTATTCTCAGTGGAAGAGAGATTATTGCTGTGTTACTTGACTGGGCTGTTAGCCTCTATGCTGGAATTGTGGACTAGGGTGAGGATTTTATAGTCTTCATAATCAGTAAAGCTTGGGACGTCACCAGTTGCAAAAATATAATTTCATAGCAATATGAATTGATTTTATTTTCTCAGCATCATAGGGGGGAATTGGAGAGAATACAAACTTTCCAAACGTTATATTTTGTACATTTGAACTTTTTAACAGAGTTAAGACTAGTTGGGAGAGGTGTCTACTCAGATTTCTCTCTCAGTTGTAAAACATGTCCAGTCATATGCTTCTTTAAATGGACCTGCTGTCACCTCTAGCGTAAGTGCATTTATTCTAACCTGCAACCTAACTGAGACTCTTAAGATGAAGAAATATTTCAGTGATAGTGAAAACCTGAACAAAGCTGTGTTTTGGGTACAAGTGAGGAAGATCCATCAGCTGTTTGTCTAAATCCTGTCATAGAGAAGCATTACAGACTGAATCTGTTTTTTAATCAGTGCAGTTAATTTTCATGCAACATAGAAGGGAACAGAAGTCACTAGTTACCGGCACTACTCTCGTGAGGACATTTTGCTGCGAATGTAAAGCTCTGTTTCTCTGTGTAAGCTGGCATTGCTTTAACAGTGGTATTTGTTTAGGTCAGTCAGTAGGCTTTGAATCAAATTATTCACCTCTTGCATTCTCTTATGCCAGATAAACAAGAAATAAATCTCATCTATTCTTGTAAGCATTTTGTGTGCACGGTGGTTATAGAGGGAATGGGAGAGCTTGCGTATAGAAGGGGGAGAAAAGTTAATGAGCCAGATTTCTGTGCTCTCCCAGGTCCAAAAAAGCTCGTTATGTGCTATACAAAGCTACTTACCCAACAGTCTTAGAGAATATATTTTCTATATCAAGCTATAACAAATACTTTAAAAAAATAAGTTGATGAACTAAACAAATAATTATCAGGTTTCTTGGCACGATGCTTCTTAGCAAGGTCCTGCCAGTCATGCAGCTGCTATTCTACAGGAGCAAAATCTCTGTGGGTTTGGTCGTGAGTGTACAGGGAGATCTTGCTGGTAACGTTTTTGACTTTAGGGGAATTGCATATGAGAACTGAGATTATACCTGACCTGTCCCATAACCTTGTGCCTGCCCATCTGTTTTGTATTTATGTTTTATTAGTATTAAAAAAAAGTAGTATCTGGCATTTAAATCTTACCTGTGCCAGAGAAATCAGTTGTAATTTGCTATTCTGTAGGTGTGATTCTGTCCCTTACACATCTGTGCAGGACTTCTAGACTTGAAGTAAGGTTTGTCCTGCCTCTGTTTTAAAGTTGCCTTTCATCGGTTTGAGTTGGATGGCTGTTCAAAGCTCCTTCATAGTCTGTCCTACTCAGACTGCCAGATCAAAGTCCAAATTCTTCTGCCTCTTTTGAGTTTTTCCCCCTCAAAATCCTAGGCTCAGTGTCTCCCAGCCTCATGATCTTCTGTAGGCCTTCACCCAATGAAAGAAGTATGTGGACCATCAAGAGGTTTGTTTTTCAGATCCCTGTCACTGGTCATTTCCTCCCACCCCCTTCCTTAATGCTGTGCCTCTCCACTGATAATTTGTCCATTGGTGCTTTTGCCCTGAGGAATCTCAAATGCCAGGCCAGCAGTGGTGTTCCCACCAGTGAGAAGCTGACAGGCAAATTGCAGCAGGGCTGGTAGCTGCAGTGCAACAGGCTGAGCCTCCACATCTCCCGCAGCTTCACCCTCTTCCAAACCTCACCGCTGCTGCAAAGGGCTGGGATGGGAGCTGGAAGCTGAGGAGCTCTTTAAAAACAAAACTACCAGCCTTATTCCTTGTGTTGCAGCCAGTATGGGTAGTTTCTATTTTCCCTGGCAAACTGCTCAGTGGTTTGCCAGGGAAAATGGGGTCAGCCAGACCGGGAGCAGTCATGAGTGTTGAGGAGTGAGTAGAGCCCCAGTTGCAGCTTTCTTCCTGAGGACAATTTGGAGCCTGTTTTGTAGGACAAGCTGCAATTCTCTGCTGGAGAGAACAGCTGGCCGTAAGCGTGGTTACAGATGGCAGCTTTGTGGGGTTTTTGGTCTTTGTTGGTGCTTGTTACTGTGCCTCATTTGCTGTTTACATGAAATGCTACTGTAGTAATTGCTAATTGTTGCCACCCGTGCTTGAAGCACGTGTATACAGGAGCAGACTGCCCATTTCTGTAGGCAGTGGGAGCTCATGGCTGGTTGCTCAGCAGAAAAGTCAGAGGATGACGTAACCCTATGGGATAGGTCAGGGAAGAAGCTGGAATGTGGAGGGACTAGTGACAGCCTTCCCTTTGGAAGCATCAGAGAGAAAAAATGGGGGCAGGAGGACTCGCTCTGAAGCTGGAGAAAGCCTTTTCTGTGATCATACAGCACCAGGGAAGGGGAGACAGAAGTTCTTTGTATAATTTGCTCACTCATAATGGATGATTTCGTTCTCTAGCTTGTCTTTCTTTTTCTGGCTAGCAGCAAGCATGCCTCTTTGGGATCTTTAAAGTCAGCATTTTTATTTTTTTTTTTTGTAATAAAATAAACAAACTAGAGAACTAATTCAATAAAAGCAAAATGACATTTCACTTGAAAAAAACAAATGTGCCCTTGAAAGCTATTTAAGTGTGCTTAGAAAAAAAGAGAATGGCAGAAGGGAAAATCTAGCTTCTAGGAGCAAAAAAAAATATAAAAATAAACACTTTTAGAACTGAAAATTGCCATAGTGCAGGAACTGAGGAACACAGTTGGTATTAGGACAGAGAGAACAAATTAGCCAAATATATTGAATCATTTAGACTTGGAAACTTAAATTTTTTAGTCTTAAGGAGGCAGTCATATGACTTTCTGATTTTGATAGGGATGGCAAAAGAAACTAAAAAAACCTAAAGATAAAGAAAGCATTTCAGAAAATTAAGGCTACTTTATCACTTGTTGACAGTTAAAGGCAGGCACTCACTCAGAGGAACTTCTGACTTTGCTCAGTATCAGGGTTTCAGTATTAGCAAGATTCATTTCAGAATAACTCTGAACTTCATACAAGTCGGGCTAATGCTGACCTGGAATTGTACCATCAGAAAACAGCCACGTTGCAGACACGTTACCTCCTGGATCTGGAAACCAGATCTGAATAAAGAACTTCAATACCAAGAGCAGGACTTTGACAGCTTCAGGGGTGGCCTAGTTTGAAACCATGATCCACTTCTCCCAGCCGCTGCCTAAACCCGCTATTTGACTTGCAAGTTCGCCAAGGCAAACGGAGCCCTTCTCTCAGCGAGCCCTGAGCAGCACCTCGTGCCCGTGCCCGTGCCTGTGCAGCACCCCACCTGTTTCTGGATTGCACCCAGCAGTGCTCAAGTCTCCATGTGCCCGTGGGTTTCACTCTGGACCCGTGCACTGGAATCCCTTACTGGACTTGCTGTGCACAGTGTGACAAGCAAAGGATCTTGTTTTCAGATACAGTTCTTACTTGGGCAAGGGATGTGTTTCCCTGTTTCATTGTCAGTGTCACAGAGGTGACAAGCCTTAATCTGTCAAGATGTTTTTTAAATTCTATTAGCATAAGCTATTGACAAGTGTTGTCTTGTCAGTATTTTGAACAAAGTGAATCATCCTGTAGGCTCTACAGAAAGGGAGGTAAGATTGCAAGTCACAAAATAAATTGCCACATCAGTGATTTTAACATCACTAGCTGTATTGCATTTGCATCCTCTTTTGTTCTCATGGTTTTCTTAGGCTTCCTTACAATCCGCTCTGTTTTCCTAAAGTTTATAGCACTATTCACTTTTTGCTCATGTGGACAGATACGTGAGCTTGCCAAAGCCTGCTGCGCGTTCTTTACACCCGTCACTGTGGTGTGGTTAGGCCAAGCCCATTTCTTTGGTTGTTTCCAGCTTCTGCTGTACAATTAACTTTGACTTCAGACTTAAACTCTGCGTATCTCATTTCAGAAAAAAAGAATAATTTTAGATGTGTAATATGCATAAAAGCCATGATAGGTTTCCTTGCCAAAATAACAAGTAACTAAAAATTAGTGGCTGGATTTGGTGGGGGATTTTCTCCAGTATTCTTGATGCTAGAACAGGTAACCACTCGCCACCCCCTTCTCAGATTCTCAGTGGCATAGCTCTCATACCCTTGATCTGTTTGTTGTTAACTGTTACGT